TCGTTCATAGATATAATGTATGGTTAGTGTTATAGGATTTTATCTATGGCTCTTCGATTTTAGAACATTTGGGATATCTCTCTCCTACGATAACTATTATAATATTAAAACTTTAAAAAATTGCTTTATATAATTTCAATCAATCCTGCAAGACATAGATAAAACTAGGGCTGTGCCGATCCACATATTTTTCACCGATCCGATCCGATATTGGTTCAAAACCGATCCGATATTTATATTAATTTTTCACCACCCCTCTTTGAACCAAATGTAATTAATAAATCAATATTTTTTATGCATAAAAGATTTATGCATAATTTAATTTTTTTATTTCAACAATAATTTTTAAAAAAATATATAATAATATATCCATTTTATGTTGGTTTATAAAATTGTATTATTTAATATATAAAATTATAATATATTAGATTTTTTTTAATAAATATAAGAGCCTCTAGATTTTCAGGCAATAGGCTTCTACGATGAGGACTATCATTATCCCCTGCCGTACTGAAGGCAGACTCAGATGGGACACTTGTTGCTGGAGGAGCCAAAAATTTACGTGCAAGTGTTGATAAAGTTGGATATTTTACAGCATTAACTCTCCAATATTCAAGTGGATTCACTGGGGATATAATATCAATATCATCAATGTTATTCGAGTTTTCTAAATAAATAACACAAATATAAAATTAGCATTTATAAAATAGTGGGTTTCATACAAACCCAATCTTTTGTTGATTTTGAAAAATCACCCAAACAAATGGGCCAATCATAGCCCAACCAAGCAATATTTAAATTAATATGAAAAATATGTTGTTATTCTTTCTATATATAAAGATTCTTTTAAATATTCCTTGATTTCTATTAGGTATGGCAGGTCATCATTTACATTACTATCGATTTCATTTATTACTAGTTTTTCTTTGATTTTCAATTTATAAGCATCCCTTAAATTAAATTTGCATTTTTTAATGTTATGTGGAAAATTTTTCTCATTGTCATTACCTAAGTTAACAATAAAATCTAAATTTATTTTAAAAAATATAAAACCTGGCGAATCTTTATTAGAAATTGGAAGTTGAACATTATCATCACCTTTAAAAAAAGACTCACATGCAGTCCTGAGCTTTCCTATGTATGATATGTTTTTTGCAAAAAGAAATCCTTATATCGAGGATCAAGTAATGTTGCGACAACATAATTGTCATCATCATAAATATCAAAAAACCGAGTTGTTAATTGATTATTAGTGGTATTCTTCATAGTCTGCACACCTCTATCTGTGTCCCCATTAATTGTTAATTCACTTTTCAGAATTTCAACAAAGGGTATAACATTGCTAATTGAACATGATTCCGTACTTATTTCTTTTGTTACTCTCTGAATTGGTTCAAGAACATCAATTACCCTTTCTGCTAATTCCCAATCATATAATGAGAGATTTCCCAAATTAGCATTATCGATAATGAACAGCTGTACCGCCCTTTTTTGTTCTATCAATCTTTCGAGCATATAATAGGTAGAATCCCAACGGGTGGGCACATCCTGGATTAATTTGTGCTGGGCTAGACTTAATCGAATTTGGATTTCTTTTAGACAATTTTGTTCAATAGAAGAATGTTTAAAGTGTCCTACTATTTTTCTAACCCGGGCAAGCATGTCAATAATAGATCTCTGTGATAAAATTGCTGCCCGTGCAACCAATTGCAAACTATGTGCAAAACACGAAACGCTTTGAAATTTCCCATTTTTCATGGCCAAAGTTATATTGGGTGCATTATCTCTAATGATTAGGTGTATTTTATTTTTCTTTATACCCCAATAATTAATAATTTCATCTAAAATTTGAGCAATATTTATTGCTGTATGCGACTCATTAAATGTTTTAACATTTAGAACTCTATTAATTTGTTGAAAATTTTGGTTTATATAGTGGCATGTTAATGAGATGTGAGAATCGCCATCTGAATTTCTAGTCCATATATCTACCGTATAGGATAAAAAAGAATCGTCAACCAAAATTTATTTACGAATTTTTTCGGAGAGTTTTTCATATATATCCGGAATAACTCCTTGCGAAAAATACTTTCTATTGGGAATTTTGACATAAATGATGTAAAAGCCTTTTAAAGCCTATATCCTCCAAGATAGAAATCGGCTGGTGGTCACACGCTATCATTTCCCCTATAAATTTAGAAATTATTATTGATTTAGGATCAGAATGTTTCCAAATATTAGTTTATTAAGAATGGCTGATATTGTTGGCTGACTTTCAGGGCTCTTTTTTTTAAAAAATTTCTAATATTTCTCGTTCTTTTTGTGTTAGCTCTTCGAATTCCTTTTGATGGCAACGCTTCAGATGTTTCCTAATGTTAGTTGTATTGAACGAATTTTTCAGTATTCCTCCCCGTGAAATTAGAATTCCGCAGATGACGCATTTTGCAAAATTACCTTCATCTTTATCAAAATATTTCCATAATTCAGAAACCATATTTAAAATAATTTTTATTTAAAGTATAAATAATAAAATTGGTGTTATTTTTTTAAAAAATTAAAAATAAATAAAACTTTGGGTGTTCCTTTCTATTTTTATAATAAAACTTGTAAAATCTATTTAAAAAAATAAATAACATTTGCATTGTTTAAAAAAAAATTATTTATAAAATATTATTAATGTAAAATAGAAACTCGAAAAATTTATTTTTTTTTAAAATATTTAAAAAAAATTTTTTTTATTAAAAAATAATAATTCAAAGTTTCATTACTCAAAAGTTTTATAAGAATTGCATTTTTAGTAAAAGGATCGGATCGGGTTTTTTTACAGGTATCGGGCCGATCCGATATTTTTGAAAAACGCCAAATACCGGGACCGATCCGATATATAATATCGGCACAGCCCTAGATAAAACATAAAAGGTATACAGGTGAAATATTATTTACTATTTATATTTTGATCTGATTTATTTTAAATAATTCGAACACATCCATAAAGATGAATATATAATGCACCATGGATTGGCCCTAGATAAAATTATAGGTCAACGAAGGTAGAAAACTTGAACTACCTACATTTTCTGATAAAAATAATTTTAATGAGGATCTGAATGAATATTCTTTTGAAGATGATCTATTAAGTTTTTTTAAAATGATTCTTCTTTAATTTTAATAAATTTCCCAAATTAAAATTTTTATTTATTAAATATAATACAACCCACGATCTTCTGCGCCAGTTGAACGTGCTTAGCACGGCGAAAGATGTGTTGAGGACTCTATTGTTTTCTGATCAAAATTTTGAGAATAAATTGTTAAAAATAAAGAAAAAGTTATAAAAATATCTTATCTTATAATATATTATTTTGTATAATTTTATTTATATTATATATAGGGAAAAAAATTATTATAAAAAGATCTCATTTTATAATACATTATTTTTGTATATTTTATTTATAATTTTTCAAGTAAAGCGTAACTTTCTAAATAGCCAGTAACGTGCGTTTCTTTTTTTAAAAGGTAACGATTAACATTAACGCGTTTCTTTTTTTGATGTAAAGAGTAATGCGTTTTTTTTTTGAAATAACGTTTACAGCACTATTTAACAAATTAATACATGACCAAATATGTAAAAAATCAACTATAAAAATAAAAGTTAATTAAATAAATCATTGAATTTCATGATTATTAATAAATTCTCTGAATTTTTATTTCTTCCAATGGATGTTATTTATAAATAACATATTTAATATATTCAAAAAGTTTAGGTTAAAATTTTGCAAAGAACCTGAATAGGTCACATTTTTTACTTATTAAATCATTTATCATTTTGCCGCATTTCAAGTTAATTAAAAAGATGAACAATGAACTAGACTCGACCACAATCACAAATCGTTTTAAATTGGCGATAAAAAAATAAAATTGAAAATTATGAGCATTTTAATAATCTCTTTAATTCCTCTTGGAAATCTAATCTCTATTCCTGGAAGGAAAAAAAACATAAATTACTATATTTAAAAAAATAAATATAGATCAAATTGCATAGAAGATTATGTGCATAATTTTATCGAATTTTGAAACTCTCCACTTTCTAACATTACATCTAATTCATCGAAACCAAATAAGATTCATGACTAATTTGTGACAACTCCACAACATTCACGAGATCAGTAAAATAAAAATTATGGTAAAAATAAATTAAAAATAATTAAGCAAGACGCGTCATAAAATGAGATATCTCATTATCTGGAATAAACCTTGATAATTACGTGTTATAATTCTTAATAGAAACCTAGTTTTAGAGTATCCCTTAAATACTACCTTTAAATATTACGACTTGACACAGTGGCGTAGCTAGAAATTTTCCTTAGAGGGGGTCCATACATATAAAAGCTGGGGGCTTCGCCCCCCAATATATAATAAATATATTTTTTAAATGCATCAATAATATGTTATTATAATTTAGTAGATAATTCTCAATAACTTTATAATAATACTATCCAGAATAATTTCAATAGTAATATAATATCCTTCCACAAACATCAAAACCAGAAAAATATAATTCATATAAAATCACTTTTAAGTCTATTGAACGTATAATCTCAAAAAAAAATTTGCTCTGGGAGGGGTCCAAACCCGAAAACCACCCCCGTAGCTACGCCACTGACTTGACAAAAAGTATAGTTTATTCTCAAGAAAATAGATATTATCTTAAAAGAGGATAAATTGTTTAAATGTATAGAATCTGATGTCTAAACGTCATAAGAAAGAAAAATCAAAATAACGACGGGAATATTATTCAAACTTGTGTTGTATAGGTTTAAAATTCCTTTGCCGAAAATTTTTTTAAAAAAAGTCTAATATATATGGGGACATGAAAATTTTACTAAGTAAATAAACCCATATATAGTTTAATATATAAAAAAAAATTCTATTATGATATCCTTCTGACTTAAATTAAAACAACCATCTTTTTATTTTACAATAACATAATACAATAAGTCAATTTTAAAGAAAAGGTTCATTTAGGAAATAGTGTTGCAAAGGTTAAATATCCAGTATGACTTGTAAATTTTGGTAGTCTGGATAAAACAGAATAGTTTAAATCAGAAGTATCATTTTTCTCGTGTAAAGCTTGATTATCCCCATCTGTCATTTTATTTGTTTTTAAATCTGGTAAGATTATTTCTTTGAAGTTATATGGAATTGCCATACATTCCACTGTTTTGATATGACAAAAATTATTTGATTTTAAGGCTTCAACACTTCTTTGAACTTGTTCTATACAAGGAGAAAAGGATACTATTCTTCCTCCTAATATTAAAATATAAATTTATCGAATTAACATTTAAATATCAGAGGAGTATAAGATATTGCCAATACTGATAATTACTGATACCACAATTTTCAAATTTTGTTTTAATTTGTGGTCCCCAATTTCCTTATTGGGATAATACATCAGCAGCAACACTAGCTTCTTTTTCTAATTGAACAAACCTCATTTAGCCGCCTTTTAAGTAGTGTTGTTAAACGGCTCGTTTTAAGCCGATTTCTAAAAACGGATACCAATATTTTAGTCAGAAAAATATTGCCTAACCCTAGAGATTTCGCTAATAGATGTCGAGACTAGCGCCGTAGGGGGGGGAGGTCCTCACCTCACATACCCTTTTATTTATATTCATTGATTTATATTTTATACATGCATTGGATTTTTTATAATAATAAATTTACAATCTGGCTAAAATTAAATTTAGAAAATATTATTAATTTATTTATCTTAGTATTTATGATTTTTTCACAATTAACTAATTTACAAAATTTTTTACCAAGTAGTGATCTGAATCTGTCCTGATTTTTTAAGCCCAGCCCGAAATTTCTTAAAATAAATTTGACCTGCCCAGCCCAATCAAATTTTTTTTGTCCCGAAAAGCCCGACCCGAAATAAAAATATCTGCCTTCCAGGTCTGGACTGAATTTATTTAAATAGAGAAAATTAAAAAATAATAAGGCCGTGTTTCTTGCAAGAATTTTAAAATATATCAAATTATTTGTCAAAATGTAATACCATATTTAAAAAATAGACCCAGCCCACCCTGAAACCCTTCGGACTAGGCGGGGCCATGATTTGCAGATTTCTAATCAATATAATTGAATAGACTAAAAACCGACTTATTAAGCTCAATCTACAGGCGTGTAACGAAGAAAATTAATTAGGCATTGAAGCGCGTGTTAATTTATTACTGCTCTTCAAAGTTAAATGTATATTTTCAATAAAAACCCCAAGCTAAAGAGATAGTTTTTCCTTTTAAAAATAGATATAAAAATTGGCTCAGATGGTTAAAACTGCAATTACCCAAGGTTAGCCCCATAAAATTAAAAATATTTATATTCTCGAACAGATACCTCATAGTAGAGGTGGGCGCGGGCCGTGAAATTATGCATGACTCATTGTGTCATGATGGGTCACGGCGTGAGTGTGAAATTTAATATTATTAAGTGTGACTGAGCGTGATGGGCCTTCCCAAAATTTTTCCCCGGCGTGATCGGGCGTGATTTCTCGTGAATCACGAAAATTTAATATTTAAAATTGTTTTTTTTTATAAACATAAATTTGCACTAATTATAATATATATTTTCTTATTTAAGTTGTTTTTTAAAAAGAATAATTTTTGACAACAATCTTCCGCATTTTATAAACAACATCCGGTATCATGCCGCAAGTTCTACTTTTTTTTATGTTTAGGTGTTTTGTCATGAGACTTTTTGCTAAATTTCGCTTAAACTTTAAAATTTATATGTTCAATAAATGTGCCTTAAAAAAATTATTATAGTCAGACAATATATAAGTTTAAAAGACAAATCAAAAGCAATTTTACAAAAAAGTCAGTTATATTTTATTTGTAAAGATCTTCGACCTTTAAATGCAACATAAAGTGAAGGATTTTACAAGCTAGGCCAAGAGTTAATAAATGGTGGTGTTACATATGGGCAACATAATATAAAAGATATACTTGTGAGCTAAAATAACTCTCATGAATACTATAGCCCTAAAAATATACGATGAAATTAAAATGAAGATTAAAAGCATCGTCAAAAACCACCGATTTTTGGATGGATGACTATAAAAATCGAAGTTTTTAACCATTTCAGGACATTATCAATAAGGATTTTGAATTAAAAACATTTGTTTTATCCACAAGGGAAAACAGGCGTCAATAATAAAAGTATAGTAATTCAATTTTAGAAGAATACACAGAAGTAGAAAATTATTTAAATAAATGTATAGTTGTGATTGAAAACGGAGCAAACCTTAATGCATTGAAATATGACGAAAGGATATCATTTTGACAATTGTTAACTGAAATAGCCTTAAATATAAATGGTGTAAAAGAAAATAGTGCATTTCAAACAATCTAGAGCAAATAGCAAACCAAGCCACACCCTAATATGTAATAACGAGGTGGAACTCTGTATATCATGATACAGAGTTCCTTAAAATCATATTATGAAATAAAGGAGTACTTGCTTAGCAAGCAGGAATTAAATAGATTAGCCACAATTGGTATCAACATTATACACAAGTTAGATAAATTTTTATCAATATATAAATAATGCTCAGATAATCTGAGTGCAGATGCTAATCCCACAATAAATGAAGTTTATCTATGGAAATTAGTAAAATTTTCTCAACCTTCTAAGGGTGATACAATAATAATCAAAACCGTAATAAACGACAAGATTTTTTGTAAAAGAAAGATTTATTATGAAGCCAATACATAAGATAGGCTTAATTCTAAATCTGAATTTCAAAAGCCTTAAATTTTTAATAAAAAAGAAAAAAAAGAAATTATAAACAACCTAAAAAAGCTAAATGATATAAAATTAGATGTGCATAAGTCAATGCCAACTATCATTTATAACTTTCCTAATTCATCCTACAATCATAAAAATCGCATATTCTAAATGAAACATTTAGAGAATTTCTAGATGATTCTGATGAAGCATTAACATCTACCAATGAAAGCTGTAAAGATGAACTTAAAAGATTCATAAGACAAATAATAATGACAATATTTTGAAGTTTTGGAAGCAAGAATTTTCATTTTCTTTTTGGAGAAAATTAGTGAGTAAAATTTGATATGTCAACCCCAGCAAGTATGGCTTCAAGTAAAAGGCTATTTTCTGTAGCCAATCGCTTATTAGAGGAAAGGCGTATACAATTGAAAAAAAACATGGACATTTTTCTTCCAAATAAAAATTTCGATTTATAAATTGTATTTATTTTTTATTATTAAACCCTGTATTGCATACTGTGTATCTCATTCCACATACTACAAATTGTATAATAAATATCTTATAAATAAATTTTAAATCAATTGCATGGTGTGTATTTGAAGCCATATTCTATATCTTCGATTGGAATTTTAATTTGGGCCACGTGATCTATTATTTATTTTTAATTTCGCATTTTAATAAACCCTATTTTTAAAAATGGCTATTTTTTTATAAAATTTTTCTTCTCAATTTTCTACCCATCGGAAAAGGAAAAATAATATATTTGACAAATTCCAAAACATTAAAATTAGATGAATAAAAGGGAAAAATAAATGTTATGAAATTATTTTATATATATTTATTATTTTTGATAATTATATTTTGTAAAAATCATACGTGGTTTTAAAGACACATTATGCAAATAAGGTATTTTATTTGAGTTTTATATTTTTAGAATTATGAATTGTGGTGACATACCTAATGATAGTGAAGATTCAAATTTAAGTGAAACGTCTGATGATGAGTTTCTATCAACACAAAATAATGATTTAGGTATATTTAAAATTTATGCTCTTATATAATCTATAAATATATAGATTTCAATGAGACAGATGATTCGGAAGAAAAAGAAAATATCAATAATAAAAAAGAAAACACTAGGAGAAAAATAGTTTAGAATTCCACTTGGAAGTGAAGGCCATGACCCACTACATAAAATTAGACCCCTAATAACTCTAACCAATAACATACTAAAATCTTTATCGATAAACGAAAACATTTGCGTAGATGAGCAAATTATTCCATACAAAGGGATAAGCAGGTTGAAACAATATAACCCTCAAAAGCCCAAAAAATGGGGCTATAAAGTATTTCTACTATGCAGAGATGATGGCCTTCTGCATAGTTTTGAAATATATTCTGGGAAAATACTAGCAGCGGAAGGATTATCTGATGTATATACCGCAGCAAATTAATTATAAATTATTTTTTGATAACTGGTTTTGTTCCCCAAATTTGCTAGTCGTACTCGCTCAAAGAGGGATATTTTGCGCGGCCATGGTCAGAGGTAATCGACTTCCAAATATAAACTTCCCAACAGATAAGGAGTTAAAAAAAAAGGCGAGAATTTTTTGTTTCAAAAAAAAACAATAATAAACGGAGTGGAGCTAAATTCAGTGAAGTGGCACGACAATCGTGCTGTGACTTTATTAAGCACTTTTGTAGGTGCACATCCTCTAATAGACTGAGAGATATGGAAAAAAAAGGGAAAAATCTTGATAAAATGTCCAAATATTGTTAAATTATATAATAAATCAATGGGAGGTGTAGATCTCATGGATTCTTCACTTTCCTATATAGAATTCATACGAAATCAAGAAAATAGTACCATAGAATTTTATTTCATATGTTTGACATGTTACTTATAAATTCATGGTTGCTATATAAACGTGATTGTAATAGTTTATCAATAGCATGCAAGGATCGATTAAGTTTGTACAATTTCAAAATTTCAGTGGCGGAAGTCCTTTGCAAATATGGCAAATGCACTTCAAACAATATACCAAAACGAAAATCAGTTCAAACTGGTTATCGGGAAATATGTAAAAAAGGACCAGCTCAATATTTACCACTTGAAGAGGTTAGGAAAGACCTCACGGCTCATTGGCCAAAATATAATGATAAGAAGGGTAGATGTAAAATGCCAGGATGCTTATTTATAAGAAAAGTATCTTGCAAAAAATGTGGTGTATATTTATGTTTTATGCCCACAAATAATTGTTTTATAGATTTTTATGAAAATTAAAATGTTTAAACCTTTAATATTTGTTGTATTTAAATAAAATTTTATATAGTTTAAAGTACAATAAAAATTATTGTGGAAATAATTGAAATTTGTATCCTTAATTGCATAATGTGTATTTAAATCCACATACCGTTCATCTTCTAAGAAATTTAGAATTTTTTTAAAAAAAGTGAGCCATGAGATTATCAATAGTATCTAGAGAAATAAAAAATCTAGTTTGCCAAAAAAAATTATTCTAACATATTACATGCAATACAGGGTTAATATGAATTATGGAGTTAGAGAAATAAATAGAATAAATTCAAAAAAGTGTAAAATTATAGCAATAAGTTTTAAAAATTTAAAAACCCTATAAATTTTTGGGTGCAAATCAAAATATAGCCTTTCATGATTGGGCAGGTTGGATTTTTTTTTAGTGTCAAGCATGATTACTGCCACTCTGAGTGGGAAGGCCATGAATAAAAAATTAGGTCCACACCCACCTCTACTTCATAGGTTGGACTAGATCAAAAATTAAGTCCCATAAGATTAACTTGTTTAATCTTTTATAAATTTGCCATTTTAGTTAGAAAGCGATATAAAGAAATAAGCATATTAGAATTTATTAATAGAATAAATCAAAACATTAACTTTAAATTCAATAATATATGCCAGCATTTTAATATCTGGCTTGGCCAATAAATTTTACAAAATGTCCAGTCTATAATTTTCTTAAAAATAGAGAATAAAATTTTTAATTTTATATTTAATTCACTTATGCAGTTCTTAAAATAAAATCTATGTTATTTCAGCTAATATTAATTAATTTCAAACATCAGGGCCCAGATCTATTTTTTCTGTATAAATTGTTCAGCCCACCCTGTTATTTTGTACAAATTAACTAACTTAGCCCATTAAATTTTTTTAAAAATGTTTCTCAGCCCATGGACTATGTTTTACAGATATCTGCCTTATGCAGTGGGTGCTTTATAATAATTATTTAAATATTTTTAGGATATTTAAAAAATTCAGGGATAATTGGATTTTTTAAAAAAAACACTATGCTAGAATAAGACCAATAGATGCCTCATATTATGCTTCATTATCAATATTGGCCAAAATTATATTAGTACACTTCTGTTAAATATTATTAATTATGCCAAAATTATAATAAAAATCGTCTGCTTTTAAAAAAATACAAAACAATTGAAAGGCACTATTTAATTTACCATATCTGAAAATTTTTGTTATATTGGGAATAGCTAACCATGGTGTAGGAAGATCCAATATTATAATATTTGCTTTAGGTAAATGTAATACTTTACTATCTATACCAATATTTTCTAAATATTCCATCTTATTCTTTTCATTTTCTGGAATATCAAAACCATCTAGACATACATTTTTAGTAATTACAGTGAAATCAATTCCATCTTTATAACCATGACTACTAAATTCTTTTCTGGCTATGTCACAACGATTTTTATCTATATCATAAGTAAAAAGATGACCTCCTGGTATAATTCCATTTAAAATGTAATGAGAAAGTGATCCACTACCAGTTCCACTCTCACACACAATTTTGCCAGGTGTTATATCTAGTTCAAACATTATAATTGAAATATCGGTTGGATAAAGAATTTGTGTTCTATGAGGTAGTAATTTAGTCCAAGCTTCTAAATTTGGATGCAATATATAAATCCACCCAGTTGGCTCTTTTGTAATTTTGTGTATACCACAAGGAAATTTAGATCCATATTTTTTTCCAATCAAATCTGCATGCTTAATGGCTCCATATTTTGTTTGGTGCATTTCTCCATTAAAAACATTAAAACAAAACTGTGAGGTTCTTCCTTGCCATACTATTATCAAATCACCTTCTTCTATATATTCTTTGTACTTTAAAAAATTCATACATGTTTTATTTTATACATTACAAGGAAAAAGGATATGAATGAAGATTACTTAACAAATAATAACAAGGATATTGATGATTTCTTTAAAGAAGTTGATCAAATTTTAAATGTAAGTTGTAAAAAAACCGAACCTTTAAGTTAAATATTTATTTTTCATGCCAGAAATTAGTTAATGTTTAGTGACAATGTGTTAGTAACACATAATAAATAATTTTTCAATTTAATAAAGATAAGATTTATATATTAAACATTTATTTAATAATGATTTTATCCTGATTTATTTTTTTAACATAGGGATTCAACGAAATGCTGGTATAGGACATATTTTTTTTAAGTCCAGCGACGAGAATAGATTTGAAAAAATTTGTTTAACCCATTCATTAAATATTATTATTCATAGATAGTAGGGGTGATCTATAAAATTTTATTTTAAAAGAATTTTTTTTAATCTACTGCTTAAAAAATATTTATAACGAATGTCAAAAAATTTTGAGTGCTAAATGATAATAAAATTCTTAAAACAATATCGTAAAAACATTAGGAAAATAAAATAGTTCAAAATTTTACTAGAGTCTGAATCCGATTCTATCCAAACAAGTTTTAAATTCAGGGTCTTATTAAGTTGAGAATTGTTAGCCCAAATCATCGATATAGATACTACTAGATTGGCCATTCATTCATTATAAATGTTGTACATAGGTATTAACTATAATGCAATTTTATGTTTTTCTCGTCGACTAATTGCCATAAATCATTATACAAATTCACATTATAATCATTCAATAAGCATGCAAACCACAAAATAACTTTACAGCTGACTCCTGTTTATGTAAATTTTTAACTACATTTAATAAATAAATCGCCAATTTAATACTGCATATATACATCATTTGTCTAAGTACGACCTACTTTGGTTGGATTGGCTACTTAGGGCTCTATCCTGAACAGGGTTGATAGGTCAAAGTTTTCAGATTGAGGGAGAAATTTGTTATTTTGCGGGAGAAATATGTAAATTGTGGTAGAAATAAACATTGCAAAAAATTTTTTCTTCGGTCAGGATTTTAAATTGACTTAGTTATCTGCCTATACTTTTTATAATAATTTTTATAATACAAAGTCAGTAACTATTTTTCAAAATAAAATAGTTAATTATAGTACTAGACATAAATTTTTAAATACTATTTTTATTATTAAAATAACATCTTGATTTATTAAAATATATTAATTTTATAAAAAAAACAAAGGATTTTAATTTTACAAATGTAAAAAATATATTTTATGCGAAAGTCCCGCAAAACTACCACAATTGGAAATCTATCGTGTGTTTGTGTTTAACATTATAGGGATAAGCGCTTAATTATCACGTAAAGTAACTAGTTAAAAGTAATACCTGTAACAGGTTACATTTTTGCTAAAAAATAACTGTAACTAGTTATATTTTAAAAATTGTAACTATTAACTGTAACTAGTTATATTTTTTGAAATGTAACTGCCAAAAGTAACTAGTTACATCTAAAAATAGGATAAATCTAAATAATATATTTAAATAACTTATTTTATTTTTAGATTATAATTAATATACTATAACTTTATAAAAATATATAATTTAAAGAAGATAAAAAAAAAAATAAAAAAAATATTTAGGTTTGGTCGGCGGGGCTTAATGACCCATGTATAGTGGTCTTGTAGGGTTTGACTCGGTATGGAGGGGGGGGGTTTGGATGGAGGGGAGATATACAGTTGGATCGACAAATTTATTGATATTCTTTGTCATAGGTAGAAGCAGTGGCGTAAATATGGAGGTGGTTTTTGGGTTTGGACCCCTCCCAGAGCAAAAATTTATTTTTAGATTGTTCAAAAGACTTATAAGTGGTGACTTTATATCAAATAAATACCAATAATATTTTTATTTTTCTGGTTTTGATGTTTGTGGAAGGATATTATATTTTATTGAAATTATTCTGGATAGTATTATTATAAAGATTGAGAATAATCTATTAAATTATAAAACAAATTATTGATGCATTTAAAAAAATAATCGAAGATATGGTTATGATTTGTAAGATAAACCCGGCCGAAGGTCGGACAAAAGGGCCGAAGGCCCCTTAAAGGGGGGTCTGGGGGCGAAGCCCTCCAGGCTTTTATATGTATGGACCCCCTCTATGGAAAATTCCTAGCTATGCCACTGGGTAGAAGTCATCATTATTTACTAATAAGAAAAGACAAAGACCAGGAAAGAAAAACAAAATATTATAATGCAGATATCAAATATCATTTCCTTCAACAAAAGATTAATCAAATAACCTTCATTCTATAAGCTAATTTAATTTTTTTGAAAATTGGGGAATTATCTAGGGTATTTTTTGTCATGGTCCTCTTGTTCATGCCTTCCAAAAAATTTGGTAAATTCTATCTAAAATGTTTTCCAAATTATACAATAGAATGCATACATATATAATTTTAAAAAAAATAAATTATCTAATACCCTTCCCTTAATATTCTTATTATCACAATTTTCTTGACAAAAAAACTCCAATATTATACAGTTCTATTTGAATTAACATTAAAAAATATATATTTGTAATAAGTTTAAAATTTATATTTGCAACAACTGTATATATAAATATTATATTTGTAAATATTTGAGTGAATCATTAATTCTTAATACATAAACTAAAATCTATTTTTATAATTAATAGACTAAATTTATAAAAATCAGAAAGTAACTCATAATGTAACTGTAACTAATAAATAGTTATATTTTTATCAATGGTTGCGGCAATGATATACACTTATCATGTAGTACAACATTCACAGAGCTACTTATCATCACAATATGGGTAGAATCTTTTACCCATAATATTTAACGCCTCCGAGATAAATGGAAACTTTACAAAAATGAGCAAGGCTATCAACAATATTTTAGAACCTGAATCCAGGAGGTCAATTCTTGACTATTTGAATCGGCATATATATGCAATTCTAACAGATGCATCTAATAAGGGAAATATTAAAATATTTCCCTTGATCCTCCGCTATTCCAACAAAATTAAGTTCGTTTTAATAAAAATATTAAATTTTTTTCCATCAAATAGTGAATAATCCAAAGACATAACTAACCATATAATGGTAAACGTACCAGATTTGGATTATCAATGAATTGCATGTCAGCTTTTTGATATGATAATGCCTCGGTGAATTTGGCAAAACCAGTGTATTTACAGAATTGAGTCAGTCCAATGTTGGTTGCGACATGTTCCTAATACCCGCCATCGATAGAATTTTAAAATTACAAACCTTTAAAAATATATTTCTTAAATAAATTACAAAAGCTGTTCCAACATTTTGGAAAAAATTTTCAAATATGAATGGCAGAAGTATATTTAGGAGTCATTTTACCTGTAGGAAATCTACTACATGCTGTTTATATGAAGTTGAAATCAGAAGAATCTTTTTTAATAAAGATTCACAAAATTATGCTGCAGATGTGTTTATAATTTACAGATAAAAATTGACAATAAATTTTATGGAGCAATTACTAAAATTTTATTAAAATGTTCAAATATTTTCAAAATACCGATTGACATTGATGTCTTGTTAGAGGAGATTGCAATGCTCTTATTTTTGATTTGCCACAGTATTTAAAATATTAATTTTACAATGTAAAAAATATATTTATTTGTTTAACAATTAGCTCGGCCCAGTGACCCCTACACTTTTTGAGGGATAGAAGCAGAATACCCCCCTAAAGTACCCCCCCCCCCCCCCCCATTGTAAATTATTTTTTGACACCAATAAATTTCAAAAATAATTTTTATTGCATCAATATTTATTATAATATAAATATAATGTAAAAAATATATGCTTTAAAAATATTATTTTTAAATTAATAATTTAGATAAATTAGGGGAAGAGAAAGCAAAAGAATTTATAATTTCATCAATATTTAATTGTTTAAATAAATTATTTTCCATTGATAAAATGGTTAAATTATTAAGAAATGGATCTTTCATGACACTACGAAGTCTTGTTTTAATTTTACTCATGACCCTTTCGGCAGTACATGATGTAGTAGGAATAGTTAATAAATATTTATATAAAATTGTTAAATTTGGGAAAGCAGAAAAATTTATAAGCAGACGATAAGGTAAAATAAATGAATAGTTTCTCCAATCTGAATCATTCATCTCAGAATTATTATCATCATCAGAAGAAGCTAAATAATGTATTAGTAAAAATATCTTAATTAAATAAATTTACAATTCTCAGAATCTGACAAATCTTCTTTAACCTCTAGGTCACGAGTAATAATTACGTCCCCCGTTTTAGCCATTTTATAAATATTTCTAAACATCAACATTTCCTCAAAAACTTGACTTGTATTTAATTGATAAAATTCACAGATATCCTTGATATCATCTTTAACAATTGCCTTTTCCGCCATTCCCTTTGGGATAAAAAATGATGTTTGACTCAAAAATTTTATCGATTCATCGTTAAATCTTTCACTAAACTGCATATCAAGTGCAGCATAAAACACACTGATTTTAAAGCTAAAATAAAATATTATATTTAATGATGAAAGTATATATATACCTCTCCTTTTTGGATTGTAATGTTTGAAGTCTTGAACTTTCAAAATCAAAAGGTAAATTTCTCTTCTTTATAAAATCTTGGGCCTTTGAAAAGACATCCAAAAATTCAGTGTTATTATCAATTTTAGGATTGTAAAATAATAAAAGATAATAATTTAAATTATACTTCTCATATTAATCAGGCAATCTTTTGCCAATTGTATTTGATTTATTGCAAACCCTATATCCTTCGAAATGGTTTGCAATTTTGTACAAGCCAAGCTTGTTATCAACAATATTTTATCCAAAACACATAGTGATAAAATAAAATAAAATTTTTCTATTCTATAGACTATAGCACTAGCCATAGTGGAAGTGGCAGGATCTTCAGAATCCTTTAAATTTGCCAAAGCTGCCCTCAAAGCATCATAAAGTTGAAAAAAATTTACAATCGCCTTATATGATGTTAGCCAGCTTCTATAAATATAAAATAAACATTATATATCAAAACAATTAAGATAATATTACCGAGTGGTATTCTTGATG